CTTGTCTTCGTCTCTTCTCGAATAAATTTCAAAAATAAAAAATAAAGAGATTCCAACGTTTCAATCAACTCAGTAAAACTAATAACGTAGATTAATTCTACTCCTTTTTTAAAACCAACGAGAGGTAACAAAACCACAGTTTTTTGATATTCTTTTTGAGTAGCTTTGACATTGATAGTATCATCTAAAATTTGTGTGGTTACCGTGGAATCAGAGGAAGTGAGTGGGTTCGAGACTGAGTCGTAGCCGGAGCCGAAAGTAACAGTGTGTAGCGATTTATAGGGTTTTTGGGTAGAGGATAATGCGTTTCTTAATATATATATATAGACGTAGCAATTGAGACTAGAGAGGGCCCACTTATATGTATTTTTGTTGGGCCTACTGACAGGTGTTAATGATTTAGTGGTGGACTCTTACACCAGTGATCGTGACGCTTTAACTCCCTTCTGTTCTTTTCCCAGGAGATCGTGTGGACGAATAGAAAAAATAGTTATTTTTCTTTACAGAATTTGTTTCTTCTTTTGTTGACAAAATATTAGTTTGCTTAAGAAAATTCTAGAAGTAATATCTTTATTTCAAATTTGTTTCCTTTTATCTTGTTTTCATATATTCTTCCAATTAAATTACTATAGTCAATATACAACTGTTTCACATTGTTAATTTTTTTGCTTCTCGTCACATCAGTTCCATTTTATATTCTTCTACTACTATTATTCAAAGTCAATCAACCTTATCGCATTTTCCAACTTAAATCTAAGTATAAATTTCTATAATTTCCTCTGTATTTCCAGCATCCCAACAGAAACTAAACAATTTTAAATATATATGTGCTATTACATCAAAGCATGTCTCAACCTTACGAGAAAAAATTACTGGGTCAGGAAAACCTTAGTAGCTGTGTTATTATGGATGTTAACAAAACTTAAATAATTTGTGTTCCACTTTTTCAATGTATACTAGAAAACAAAACTAAGAATCATAATTTGCTACGTACCACATACGGCAAGTTTGTGATTTTATTATATAAATAAAGTGAGGTAGTTGGAGTGGGTGGGGGATGTTTTTATGTGTAGAAACGGGCATGCACACACATTTTAATAAAGTTGCATTCCTTGTACCAAAACTCACTCCTGACGTATTTGAAGAATAACGCACGCACTCGTATTTATCTCGACGCATCACTGTACGCCCATGGAACTGGGCCGTGCAAAGTTACCATTGATTATTGTGCCAGAATCTATCAGTCAAACCGCGTGCATATATATATATGTAGAATACTTCAATCCAGAGTATATACAAAACGAGCAATGAAGTTTTAGCTTTCAAATGTAATGCTGTTTCTGTGTTTTGGTTTACTTAGTTACAAACTGGTTAAATGTCCAAGTTGTGACGGACTTTATGGGTCCGATTATTAATGATTTTCAATTTTTTTACTGTCAAGGCTTTTAATTTTACTTTGACTGTTAATATTAGTGTGACAAAAAAAGCTTAGACTCAAAAATGAAAATAGTTTTAGAAATAACTTAAAGACCTAAATTTTGTGGCTTTAGAATACAGATCACGTTAAGTGCAAAAAAGTTAGTGAATTTGATTTTGAGATTTTATACGAAGGCTTTAAAGACTTTACAAAGCTTAAAGTCTGATTGATAAAAAGTGATAATATAGACTATAAATAAACTAAAGCCTCTTAAAACCCTTAAAGTTAAAACCTCAACTGGGACCTATAGTATGCTTTAAACAAATAAGTCAGCTTACATGGCTCTAGCCCACATACAATATTTGAGTGAAGCTGTAAAACTACATGGATGTCATACTAAACCAACTACATATATGATCGAGTATTATCCAGAACTATAAGATTTGTCTAATAAGATAAGAACTAGGATAATTACATGCTCAAGGGCCAACATCCTTTTGGAAAATAATGAAAATCCAGGTATGAAAAGGACTCAAGATTCTAAACGCCGTACCATGAGATCATTAGGTATGTGTTTCGTCGGTGTGTTGTTTATGAAATTTTGTATATAAATTATGTATAAATCATTTTATATTTGATCAATCATTGACTCAACACGATCAAAACCATATATATAAAACACATTTCGTATAAATACAAACACCGAGGTTGGTTGAATTTGAATTCTCACGAAACTCAGCAATCCTCAGTTTTCACTAGGGTTGGATACCTGTTTATGAAATTTTGTATATAAATTATGTATAAATCATTTTATATTTGATCAATCATTGACTCAACACGATCAAAACCATATATATAAAACACATTTCGTATAAATACAAACACCGAGGTTGGTTGAATTTGAATTCTCACGAAACTCAGCAATCCTCAGTTTTCACTAGGGTTGGATACCGATACTTGTTATTCGGTTTATACTTGCTATTTGACTCGTATTCGGTCTGAAAAACAAAGTATTCAACGTTATCAAGTCAAGTACTAAATATGCAAATCATATTACTTACAAATACAGGTCAAGTATCAAGTATCACGATTTTTTTTATTACTCACTTTGATATTTATTTCCTTACTTGTTTATTGATTTTTAAAATATGTACTACTTTTTAAAAATACTTGTTTTACTAGTAATATTGTAATAAAAAAATATATGATTGTTTAGATATTTATGTAATGTATGATTATTACAAATGAAATATATACACTCACTAAATCAAATTACTCGAACAGACTAAATAGAATAATAAGTTATATGTAAATAAAAGTATTTATTCCATGTTAACTGAATTTATATGTTTTCGTATATTTAATTTTAAAGTTTTAAATCTAAACAAGTATCAAATATTATCAAATAACACACAAGTATTTAAAATATAGGTAAATACTCGTTCAACTAAGTACTTGATCGAAACAAGTACAAGTACAAGTCGAAAATTCTAATAAGGTAAATCGAGTAGCAGATAGGGTGAAAAAATCAAGTACCCTGCTTGCACCCAAGCCTAGTCCTCACGTAGGGGAGCTACAGACTAAATTTGTTTCTATAGGGCATTTAAAAACTATTGTTAAGTTTGAGCTGTTAAAGAAATCACTTTGAAAGTATGGTGCCACAGCATAAATAATACTAAATAAAAGCCTCGATTTATAAATTACGAAAGGTTCCACTGGACAAAGAAACAACCATACAGAGTTTGGGATAATGGGCATTTAATTCCCCAAGTATTTGAAATCGGCAATTTTAATACTCAAGTATTGCTTGCGCAGAATTATTCCCCAACTAATAGTTGACTGCACAAAATTAGGAACGAAATAGTCAACCGTTAACTGGTTAACGGAAAGATAACGGTTTCCGTCAACTTTTTAACGGTTGACTATTTCGTTCCTAATTTCATACAGTCAACTATTAGTTGGGGAATAATTCTGCACAAGAAATACTTGAGTAATTAATTTGCCGATTTAAAAATACTTGAGGAATTTAAAAAATCAATATTTTTTTAAAAAAATACATAATTTAAAAGATTTTCAAGTCAGATACAATCAATATTCGAGATTTTTACTTTTTGAAAGAGATTTTTGAGTTTTTACAATAACATGTACAATAATAAAAATAGTTATAGTTGCAATTTATTGTTGATGTACTTCATGTTTATAAAATCACATATGGATGATTTCATATCATTTACGGAATCATATGTTGTAAATTAGATCTTTACTTTAGACTAGGGATGACAAAAAATATCGAACCGAATGAAACCGAACCAACTGAACCGAAATCGCTCCAAACCAAACTAAACCGAGTTAAACCGAACCGAGAAAACAATGTGCTTTTGTTATTATTTGATAACTAAAGTCTCTATTAACTTTATACAATATACTTAAATCCTAACACTAACGATTAACTTTATTAACGCTTTTTAAAAAAAAAAAAAAATCTATTTACTTTAGTTAACTTTGGTTTGATTGTGTTCTTATAAAAAAATAATGATTTTCAGATTTTTTTTTCAGTTTTATATTATAATTAATTTTCATAAAACATGATTTTTATTAAAATAACTAAAATAAAGGAAAACAATTAAACCAAATTTGAAACTGATCCAAACCAAACTAATTATGGTTTACTTCACATGGAAAATTTCGAGAACTATATTAACCAAACCGAACCGAACCGAACCAAAAATAACCAAAGTTTCTACTCCTACTTTAAATAATCATATGTAGTTACCTCTACTTTAGACTATCATATATTGTACATCATCAATGCAATGCAATGCAATGCAATGCAATGCGTTATCTTATTTTATTTTCTTTTGTAAAACTCCAAAATCCATTTTCAGTAAAAGGTATCTTGTATATTTGTTCCATTGTATATTTGTTCAAATTGAGAATCTTTTTAATTTGAAATTATTTTAAAAATAATCTTAAGTTATTTTATAAACATGAAATATATCAACAATAAACTGCAACTATAATTATTTTTATTATTGTACTTGTCATTGTAAAAACTCAAAAATCTCTTTCAAAAAGTAAAAATCTCGAATATTAATTGTATCTGACTTGGAAATCTTTTAAATTATATATTTTTTTAAAAAAAAATATTGATTTTTTAAATTCCTCAAGTATTTTCAAATCGACAAATTAAATACTCAAGTATTTCTTGCGCAGAATTATTCCCCAACTAATAGTTGACTGTATGAAATTAGGAATGAAATATTCAACCGTTAAAAAGTTGACGGAAACCGTTATCTTTCCGTTAACTAGTTAACGGGTTGACTATTTCGTTCCTAATTTCGCGCAGTCAACTATTAGTTGAGGAATAATTCTGCGCAAGCAATACTTGAGTATTAAAACTGCCGATTTCAAATACTTGGGGAATTAAATGTGCATTTTCCCTACAGAGTTTATAATATATTTTAGGAGGCTTCATTTTAAACTAAGATGGCTACTGAAGTTCCTAATAACATGGATAGAAGGCGAATCAATCAAACCAAAGATTCACAAAAAGCAGAATATGTAACGTAGTAGCAGTGTAAACTCAATCTAGGAGATCAGAGAGAGGCGTCTTCTTGAAGGGATCAGCATTAGCGAGCAGAACAGTCAATCCCCTGTTAGGGAAGACGTTATCAGCTTTCATTCTATCCTTCATTCCATAAGCTGGAGCTTTGGCATTGACATAAGCCTGTATAAGGGACTGAAACTGTCTGAAGCGAGAATGATAGCCAGATTGCCTCATCCTCTGGAAGATCTTCTCAGTGTTGTGAACATCACCTTTTCTTGCATACGCGTCCATCACGTACATGAAAGAGCTCATCAAGGGCTTTATCTGTTTCAACTGTGTTGCCTTGCTCAATGACGAATCAGCTTTTTCTACTTCCCCGGCTTCCACATAGAGCCTGATCAGTGCATCCCATGTTAAGGCCCCTATATTGCATCCGCTGTCCAACATCTTCTTAACAAGTTCCTTGCCCTCTGAGACCATCTTGTGATCCACGTAAACTCTCAAGAGGACAGAGTACATCCCTGACGAAACTCTATGGCCCATCTTCACAGACTTCTCGAAAACCGCCTCTGCTTCTTTCACTTTATTAATCTTTCCAAAGGCCAGGATTGCAGCAAGGGACTCTTTATAAAAAGGGTGGTTGTCTTCACAGATCTTCCAGATTCTGCTCACCTCATCCGCTCTCTGGAGAAAGCCATAGATGGAAAGCAAATCCTTGCACACATAACGATTAGCCACCAAGCTTTCACCTTCCATCTCCTTCAGCACTTTCTCAGCCTTCTCTTTAAGCCCAGCTGATGCATAGTGTCTTGCAACGATGGATTTTGCACGAAGGTCAACCTCAACACCTTCACTTTTCATTGTCTCCACAATCTGTTCCATCCCACTAATGTCATTTGATGCTCCTTTGGCGTCAATAAGGATTTTGTATGTGTAGAGAGTCGGCTTCAGGTTTTCCTTCTCCATCATCAACAACATATCAGCTATCTTCTTCTTGTCGACCCTCTTGTAAAGCATAAGCATCTGATCACAAGTATATGATGTCCTAGGGAATCCCAAGTCCTTCATTTTGTTGAAAACAGCTTCTGCTTTCCTCACGTTACTTGTTGATGCATAGTTCGCCAGGAGGGTGCGGTAGACCAGCTCCCCTCTGAAAGATTCTGGGATTCTTTCTATATAAAGCTCTCCCTTGTACAGACCACGTACCTTGGCAATCAGATCAAGCCGAGAAGCATAATCTCTCTCTTCCAATTCATATTGCTTATGTTCTTCAAGCCATTCTGCCAACTATAGTAACAAGAAGACAAGGCAGCAATGAAAGAGTAACACTTAGAGAAATCTAGAGTCTATAGACCAATCAGAATGTACTAATGAAAGTCTAGTAAGTTTCTTGGAGACTCAAGCATATTGACAAACATTAAATGTCAGCTTATGCTGTAAACAAAAACTAAAATGTACCTGCAGTGCTCTCCCATACATACGACGCCTACGGAGCTGTAACATGGCATTTGCAATCTCTGTGCGGTTGATCTCCTTTCCCTCTTCAACCCATTTATCAAGTGCAGTCGCTACAGACAAACCTGAGACAGAAACAATGGCCTTAAACAGCTCAGATGATCTCTTGCTTCCCGGTGTTTTACCATCCTCAGAGAGTAGTTCAAGTTCTGCTCCATCAATGTCACCTTCATCACCAGACAACTCCTCCTCAGACAGAAGCCCATCTTCACTATCACCACTAGTACCGTCTGAAATTTCAAGTTTTTCATCCTCTCCTGAACTTCTAGCGCCAGCATCAGAGGAAAGTGAACGTCTTCCGGTAGAGGAGTTCCATGAGTGCTCGTAAGAGCCTTCGTGTTTATTGTGTAACAAAGCTTTTGATTCAACAGAACCGTTCCTCTCTCCCAATGGTATCTCTAGCTTAGAGTAGTACACAGCATTGCAAGCTCCTAGTCTAAAACTCTGGCTTCTGGAAAAAAATTAATACACAACAGAAGCTAATCAATTAAATTAAAGTACTCAAAACAGACAAAGAAGTATGTTTAGTGGCGCATCTGAAGACATTTTTTAAAGCTTGGAAACTAACCTCCTTAAAACCTTGGAAAGGGCAAACATGTCTCTACTCCTCAAGACACTAATCTGCTACTGAAAAGACAAAACACAGAGACAAGACAGAATCAGGACAAGAAGAGAGAAGCTAGGTCGGATTTGAAGGAAATGATATGCATTTCTACTCGCAAAGATCATACCCAGTAAGAAAAATTCAAACTTTGAGAAGATTACATAAAAATTCAAAGATTAGGGTTTCTAGGGAAGGTGAGAGATTTACAGAGTGTAACTGAAGAGCAAGCGAACCGAGGACAAATCCAGGAGAGCAGAGAGGAGTAAAAAAAAAGAGGGGTTTAGGGTTTTTACACTTTTGGGCCTAATCTCATATTGGGCCTGATCTCATATTGGGCCTATTTTTATTGTCAACGGTCACTCTTTATTTTTGTCAAAGTCAACGGTTACTTATAGAAAGTTATGTTTCTTGTTCCTGCCAAAATTTCTCTCTCATTCACACTTAGCATAAAGTTTAGACTATTCACAGTTGAGTTTGGATCTACAAAAGGTTTTTCTGTTCGTGTCAAGATGGGAGGTTGTGTTTCAATATCAGTGTCTTGTGATCAAACACTGAACCAGGTTGGTCGTTGTTTGACTAAGAAAGCAAGTTACATAAGTAAGCTCCAAGAAAACGTGGAAACTCTGCAGACGGCAACGCAAGAGCTCAAGGATCTCAGGGATGATTTGGTAACAAGAGTTTCTTTAGAGGAAGAGAAAGGTCAGAGACGGCTTGCAACTGTTCAAAGATGGCTTTCAAATGCTGAGACAATCGAATCCCAAGTCAATGAACTGCTTGCAACAGGTACCGAGATTTCTAGAAGTTTTAGATCGAGGTTTGATTACGGTAAAAGGGTATTCAAGAAGATCAAAGAAGTCAAAGATCTCAAGTACTCTGGAGGAAGTTTTAAAGTCATGTCCGAGAGAGTTCCTAGGTGTAAAGTGGAAGAGAGGCTTATCCACCCTGTAGTTGGTATGAAGGCAATGGCTGAAAAGGTTTGTAGTAGTCTCATGGAAGATGAAGTTGGAACGTTAGGTCTTTACGGGATGGGAGGTGTCGGTAAAACCACACTCCTCTCTCAAATCAACAACAGTTTTGTTGACATAGTAAATGATCTTGATGTGGTGATATGGGTTGTGGTGTCTAAAGATCAAAAGACAGAGAGTGTTCAAGAAACAATCTTAAGAAGACTTGGTCGTTGCAGTGAGGAGTGGAAACATAGAAAGGAAGATGACAAAGCGTCTGAGATCAGGAAAATGTTAAAGGGTAAGAGATATATGTTGTTGTTGGATGACATATGGAGTAAAGTGGACATTCAAAAGATAGGAGTCCCTTTACCTACAAGAATGAACCGATGTAAAGTAGTGTTCACCACTCGGTCTAAGGAAGTGTGCTCAGAGATGAGGGTTGATGTTGAGATGGAAGTCAAGTGTTTGGAGTTGGATGAAGCGTGGGAGTTGTTTCGGATGAGAGTTGTGGATCTAACTTTAGAGAGCCATCCAGACATTCCTAAAGTTGCAAGAAAAATAACTAAAAAATGTTACGGTTTGCCACTGGCGCTCAATGTTATTGGGGAGACCATGTCATCTAGAAAGACAATACAAGAATGGTCTCACGCGCATGATGTCTTGAATTCGTTTGCTGCTGACTTCTCATGTATACAAGACAAGATTCTTCCTATCTTGAAGTTTAGCTACGATAATCTAAAAGATGACGTGTTTAGGAAGTGTTTACTGTACTGTGCTTTGTTCCCGGAAGACTATGAGATTGACAAGGAAGAGTTGGTGGAGTATTGGATATGCGAGGGATTTATAGATGAGGACAAAGACAGAGATAAAGCTATGAACCATGGTTATGAGATCATGGGTACTCTTGTTCGTGCCTGTTTATTGATGGAGTATGAGCATACAGAGTTTCTCAAGATGCATGATATGGTTCGTGAGATGGCGCTGTGGATAACATCTGATCTTGGTAAGAAGAAAGAGAGCTTCATTGTGAAAACCGGTTTCAAACTAAGACATGTCCCAGAGGTGGAAGATTGGAGCGTTGTGCAGAAGATGTCATTGATGGGAAATGAAGTTGAGAAGATAAGCGCAGGTCCTTATGGGACAAAGAAACTCGTGACACTCTTCCTCCAAAACAACAAGCTGATGAGTATCTCAGAGAGTTTCTTTCAATGGATGACAGAGCTTAAGGTTTTGGATTTATCTTCCAATGAAAGACTCACAGAGTGATGAGATACCACATGAGGAAGAAGATGACGTGGCCATCTCCACAAGGACCATTTCCATACGTTATGTTATTTCTGTTTTGGGTTTCACTTAGTGGGATTATGTTTCCATAATTATAGGATCGTTTCTTTGCACACCTCTCACGTAAGTAGTTAGTTATTTAACTTAGATTGTATTTAAGCATGAGTTGAGAGTTAGATGAGAATATGAAAAGAAAATTGTGGTAACTTGTTTCTTAAGTCTTTGGGACCTAATACAGAGTTGCCTGCAGACATTTCAAAGTTGGTTGCATTGCAGTATCTTAACTTATCAAGTACAGGGATCGAGGTTTTGCCATTTGGTATAAAATATTTGACAAAACTAACACACCTGAACTTAGAGTTCACACAGAAGCTCAAGAGTGTTGTTGGGATATCGAATCTATTGAGTCTGCAAGTACTAATGCTATTTGAGTCCAATATTCCTCTGAGTAATGGCTTAGTGGAGGAGGAGCTCAAGTCCTTGGAACATTTGGAACTTTTGACTCTAACTCTAAAGGATACCTTTGTGATGGAACGGCTCCTAAACATCCACAGCTTAGTGAACTTTATGCGCCACTTATCTCTCGATAAATGTATACCAAATGCTGTCAGAATATCATTAGTGGCAGCAGGGTCGAGTTCTCCATATGGTATGGATAGGCCACTGCAGCACATGAAGATTCCAAATCCTATGTACTTCCGAAGCCTCACACGTGCAAACATTGTGAACTGCGAAGGTCTAAGGGATTTGACATGGCTGATGTATGCACCTAGCCTGACTAATCTTCATGTGGAAATGTCATTTCAGATAGAAGAGATAATAAGTAGAGAGAAAGTGATGAAGATTGATGGAGAGGAAGCCAAGTCTACTACGCCCTTTCTGAAACTAGAATCATTCTCACTTCTGTTTTTGTATGAAGTGAAGAGTATCTATTGGAGTCCTTTACCCTTTCCTGCTCTTAAATATCTAAAGATACTCAGGTGTCCAAATCTAAGGAAACTTCCTCTCGATTCTGCAAGCGCCAAGGGATGTGATCTTGTCCTGGATGCTTATGGACAGTGGTTGCGAGATGTTGAATGGGAGGATGAAGCTACTAAGAACCGGTTTTCTCCAACCTGAAAATTGTTAGTAACATTTAGATTTGGTTGTACTTTACAATGTCTTATACTTGTATATGTTTGGGCTGTGTTCTCAACCCTCCTGTAACTAAATACACTGGAGAAAAGTGTACATATTTATTCATTGAAAAAAAGATAACAGGCCAAACTTCTTGCGAAGTTTAAGCCAAGCAAAAAAAAAAAAACTGAAGGGATCATTCTCTTCTCCAACTATGTTATATCATGGGTGGACTAATAGGGTAACAATGTTTCATTTGGCTTCTGCAGCTTTCTCACTTATACGCAGACTTTCAGCTTTACGCACAACCTCCTCAGCTACAAGCTTCACGTTACCACTCTGATCGCTCTCCTTCTCCTCTTGGTTCACTGAACCCACCACCTCCCATATTCTGACCGTCCCGTCTTCTGAGCCTGACGTGTATGACTCCCCTCCTGGAGAATACCTCACGCAGTGCACTGGTCCGTGGTGACCTTTGTTACACCCTGCATTCACCGATTTGTCTTAAAAGGCTACTACACACAGATTCCAAAACAGAATCATTATTTTCTTCCAAGGAACTTACCAATCTCCTCTCCAGTCTGGAAATCAAACCTGTGGACCCACATGTCTTCTCCTCCAGCAATGAAAGTGTTCCCGTGTTTCGGTTCCAAGGATGCTGATTCAACGTTGCAAGGCATCTCATAGCTCTTCAGCATCCCAAAACTAGGAGAGCAAGAGAAAAGCTCAAGCATAAAGGGGACAAAAACAATAGGAATGTGACTGTGGATGTTGTCTGAAACTTACTTATTGGCGTCCCAGAACTTAACACTAGATCCATCAGCAGTAGTTATGTACCGTCCATCCTGACTTACTTCAGCACTAGTGACAGGAAACTTCGTTTCTAATGTTTGAACGATCTTGTCACTTCTTAGGTCCCATAACCTACAGAGGACAAAAGGATGATGAGAGCAGGAAAATATACAATAGGACTGAATCCAAAACCCAGGAACGATGTGGTGCAATACCTAATGTCACCAGTATCTGTGCAAGAGCTTAGGATAGTATTATCACTGTGAAGCCACTCGACGGTTCTAATTGAACCAGGAGAGTTTCCTATTTCTTTTGGAGGTGCGTCTGGCCTATTCATATCGAAAATCCGAAGAATCTTCTCCATTCCACCAGTGAGCAAACGGTGAGTGTCCTGGAAAGTAAAAGAGTTGTGCATTATAAGACCACAACAGAACCAAAAATGAACACCACATTCCACCATCCATATTCCTTATATCAGAACACTTGGCAAGGGAATCGAATGAGTCTTTGCTGGGAAAGATACAAAAGCTTACCTCTGAGAAAGCACATGCACGAACAATGTGCTTGTGTTCAAAAGAGTGCAATTCATCTCCAGTCAATGCATTCCATATTTTCCTGAATCAAGTTATGATCACAAAGAAACCGTCTTAATCCCTGGAAAGTTCCTGGTTCCAATTAAACATTTTCTGTGGAAACAAATCCTTTCAAGCTTTAAAGCAAACAATCCATCACCAGTGGCTATTAAACTAACCAAGACTAGATGGTTAAGTATATTTTGAAAAGAAGAAGAAGAAGGGAACAATAACATACGCAGTGAAATCAGCAGAAGCAGAGGCAGCACGCATAGCATGTTTATCAAGGCTACAACTCCAAACAGCTCCTTTATGTCCTTCAAAAGTCCCTATCCAGTCCCCAGTCTCCCCATTCCTCAACATCGGGTTCGAATCTAAACATCACAAAGTCAAGCAACTTTAATAAATCCTATTTTCTCTCCGTTAGACCAGCAACAAGAACAAATATATAAGAGAACAAGCCCATGATCCATGAACAAGACAAGATAAGCGCAGCAGATCGACGTGGAGATCATGGATCTTTGAATACAGGAAACAAAACAAAAAAAAAAGATCATACCTTTGCTGGCGCTGATGAGGAAGAACCCATCTGGAGTCACCGGACTATAAGAAACGTCAACAACGGGACGAGAATGCCCGTGGCAAACTAATGGAACCCCCATCTTCTAATTCACTAATGAAAAAAAAAGATTCTAAATCAAGCAGACAATAATCTATTTAGTTTTGTGTCGATCCGGGAGAGATGGTAAAGTTACATGATACCCGACAAGATTACGTTGAGAAGAACTGTGTTCTGATCTGTGCCAATGTATGAAGCCTACCTTAGATGAGGATCACACCTTAATATTTTATTTTTTATTTTAAATTGGAAAGACAAGTGAGAGAGAAGAGGGATGATAAAGGAACGACCTTTTTTATTTTTTTATATAAAACGCAGAGCAGAACTCGCGGAGAAGATGATGGCATGGTAGTTATTATTATTGATGATATGGCCCCTATTATTTCAAAGTAATTGCTTTAGCACCTCAGACTTAACAATAGTTCTTTTTTTTTTTTTATGTTCTTCATGAAGAATCTGTCTGGTTTGTGTATGTGTTTTGCTTTTTAAGGAGGATCGTTTTCATACTTTAAGATTGTCTTCTCTTACCCGAATTTTAAAAAAGTTCTTAACATAGAATGCACTGATCAGGCTCTATGTGGAATATAATGAAAGCTGATAACGTCTTCCCTAACAGGGGATTGACTATTCTTCTCGCTAACGCTGATCCCTTCAAGAAGACTCCACTCTCTGATCTCCTGGATTGAGTTTACACTGCTACTACTACGTTACATATTCTGCATTTTGTGAATCTTTGGTTTGATTGATTCGCCTTCTATCCATGTTAGTAGTAGAATCTTCAGTAGCTCTCTTAGTTTAAATGAAGCCTCCTAATATATGTTATAAACTCTGTATGATTGCTTCTTTGTCCAATGGTATGGTTCTTGGTAAGGGTGAATGCAAACAAAAGCATTTTACATTATATTCCAAACAGAATAATTTACAGAGACTTGCACGATTGTGTGCCACACTCATGTTCATGAAAGAAACACGCTCAAAGAACACAGAAGAGAAGCGAAAGGTTACAACAAATCCTATGATGAATTCACCTAACAGGACCTCAAAACTTTGGGCCTCCACTAATTGGTTGTAAGCTAATAAGAGGACGACCAAAAAAGGAAGTGATTAGGCTATTGACTCTGGAGATCTGGCCTGAGTAAAAGTCTAGTGATGAAAGGGGACATGGCTGCAAGAAGGGCCTTGGGACACTCCTCGTGTGGTAGATGCCCACATCCTGAGACTGCTACTAGTCTCTGTCATTAACATGAACCAATGTTAGTTCCTGTTTTTTTTTGGCATGAAAATAAAACGAGCTTGAGTGTAAATGAGGGAGTTACAGAGTTTAGGAGTTTAGACGCCATTGCTTGGGATGACTTCAATGGAACAAGGGCGTCTTCAGCTCCAGCAATGACTAGTACAGGCAGGTTTTCCACAGCCTTAAGAAGCGAAGCTGCATTTTGAGGCGCAAGCACCGTTTCAGATGAGAGTCTGCCTATCTCATGAAGCGCCTCGTCCCAGCCTTCTACGTGTAGCGGGGCCTGATAAGAGGGAACTTGATTATATATGTTCACATGATTTGCAATCTTTCATGACATGATAAAGAAAGGGTACCTTGTATAGCCTGAGGACGTCTGTTGTCATCTTTGCAGGATCATACCAAGCGCGACGATTCACCACTTGAGCTATCTCAGTGCGTAACAGAGGGCGAACTAGGTGCTTCTTCCGTAGTGATGTGTGCAGAAGTATTCTTGCAAAAGCTGGAACGACTTCCCTTGACAAGCTTACATTAAGCAAAACCACTCCTCTGACCACAACCTAGTAGTATAAGAGCAAAAGACATGACTAATTAGGACTACATAGAAGAAAAGAGAGAAGCCATAACAAGTCTACTCACTTTGATTGGATCATTTATTGTCATTAATCTTTGTGCAGCTTTCAGAGCAAGCAGACCTCCATCATCATGACCAACAAATACTACTGAAGAGAATCCCATCTCATGACAGAAAGCAAGAAGCATCTCTACCTGATTTTCAAGTGTGTAAGGATTGAGAAGCTGTCTTTCTTCCAAATCATTTATATGTGGCCTGGCTGTTAATCCCCAACCAGGCCTATCAAATGCAGTGACAACACAGCCAAGCTCATTAGCCAGTGGAGACATCACATGCCTCCAGGAAAACACTCCTCCCCCAAATCCATGAACCAAAACCACACCAAACTGACCACTTTCATTCATGCCTACTTTCTCCTCAGCCTCAAAATTGAACACATTCATCATGTCTTCCTCTTGACGTGTTCTTTCCGGAATTTCTTTAAAAATAAGAGGAGAAGGAGAACAATCAAGAAGAGGGTCGTGCAAGGAAGAATTGTTAAACACGCTGCTGTAGCTCCTGTGGTAATGATGATGATGCTGGCTTTTCTCAGCCATGCTCAGCACTTTCCTGTCAAACTTGAACCTTCCAGCCATTGCCTCCGGCGTGCTGTAACTAGAATTAGCTTCAAGAACATTGGAGGAGATAGACTGCCCTGGTGAACCAGGTGAACAAAGCTTGTAATGCACAGTGAGACCTCGTATTTTGATGAACAAACTGTCAGTATCAGCAAGCAAACTCACTGGAAGCTCTCCTCCGTCCTGAGACATAGGCTTTCTCCTTCCTTCTACATCAAACTTGGAGGCCTTTCCAACCAAAGGAACAGGGGACCGTGGGACTTTCTGGTGGCTTGAGAATATGCTCTTGCATAAAAGAACCTGCCACACACACTCCATATAAGCACACAAACAAAAAAACAAAGAAAATAGAGATTTAAGCAAAACTCACAGCTTCAGGGTCAACTCTGTGATACAAAATTTTCCTCCTAGCTCTACAACTTGTGACGTATGCTACAACCGTATGACCAAGCGCAAACACCACAGACGAAAGGAATAAAACCGGCATCCCCCATGACTTCTTCAGGTGAAGCCGGTGCCTAGATGGAGAGAAAGAAGCTTCGTTGTTGAGTTGAGAAGCCACAGTGAAAAGACAAGCTTTAACTGAAAGAAGTAGAACTGAAACTACACAGCACAGAGATACAGTTCCAAGGTAAGGACCGTGCGAGAGTGCAGGAACGTCCGAAAGTGAATAAATACCTATTCACAAATAACACAAACACATAGAGATTGAGCAGTAACATCCAAAGAACAAAACATTTGACTTAAGATTAAACATGCAGTGAATTTATCTTACAGATGACAAGGAAAGATCTGATAACGGAGACAAGAGGAATATCAGTTAACGATCTCTTGAAACCGTATCGACTCAGATGCTCCTTAGCGTTGTAGCAAGTCACACAGGTAAAGCTAGACAACAAGAAGCTCGGAACCAGCACATCTCCTATAGCTACAAGCAAAGGTAACGAAGAAACTAGCAGAGAAGCCAACATTGCAACTAAGAAGAACAGTGTCCGCAAGCATCTTCTCACCTTCTCCAAAAAGAACCAAACTTTTACCATCTTTGCTTTCAATTGGGTCAAACACCAATCTGATGACTCTCTAACTCAAAAAAACACAATGCTGAATCTTCGGGATAAAGACAAGATCTTTTTTCCCCTGGTTTGTTCTATGGTCGGAGTTGAAACATAAAAGAACGAAATTTGAGATCGGAGGCGACGAGGATTGGTAAAGATTATTCCTTTTTTCAACAAATGTGAGATTGTAGGATCAAAAGGAACGCCATTGCTACGATTCTGATTAAGAGATTGAATTAGAGAGATTTTCAGAATCGTAGGAAAGGCGAAGGGGGAAGGGAAGAAATTAAAAAATAAAAATCGAAACTTTTTGGTTTCTCGAGGAACAAAAACCTCCGTTTTCCCCTCTGTTTTTTTTTTCTTTTTCTTCTTCGTCTTTTCTTTCTTTTTAATATTGCACGACGTATTTTTTTTTTTTTTGGTTAATATTTTCATATTGGCTAAGACAGATACAAAATCATATAAAGACAGTAAGAAATGCTATATTAGTTTGACTAAATAGTAATTAACATGCATTTAAAGAAAAAACAGCACAAAGAAAGGAAGAAAAAAAACATCTTGACAACTTGGTCCGACCTGTCTCGGCTTCGGACTGCTGTTAAAATCTTTTATTGGCTAATTCTACCTCTTGTTTAAAAGTAACATGTATATTCGAAACATAAAAAACAAAAATTCAACTCTGTCGGAATAATTTTATTTCGCTTTATGCGTTTTTCGCATGAAATACAGCTTAAAAACTAATTATTTTATGAAATAAAATGAATGAGAAAATGATTAGAATAGCATTAAAAGTTTTTTTTATCACAAATATAGTATTTAATAATGAAAATGATGAAAATAACATTAATATTTTATCAAAAAAATAAATATACATTTATATCTTAATAATAAGTTAATTTAGACATTAGGGGTTAGAGTTACAGGGAATTTGAGGTTTACGGTTTAGAGTTTAGGGTTTAGGGTTATATATTAGGTTTTAGAGTATAGAGTTGGAGAGTGGAGTTTTGGGGATAAGATTTCAATTTTTGAAAATATTTTTTTTATAAAAAATTCAAAAGATAAAATGATATTTTGGTCATTTAAGTTTTTGAAGGCTATTTTTTGTGACATAAACTTAGAAATGTGTTATTTTGAAGATTTACCTGAAATGAGTCTCTAAAGATCAGTTCAAAAAAAAAAAAAAAAAAATCTCTTCGTTATATGATAGAATTCATCACGGTCTACCTTAGTGAAGCTGGTGATAAAGCGAGCAATAAACAATATATATGTATTGAAATCTTCTGCGCACAAAGCCATAGAGTAATATGATAACATGTTCACACGACCATCGTTCAAAATATCAAATGCTCTCTCCTAATCTCTATTAGCCCTTTGTTAGATTCTGTAACGAAACAAAGCTAAAGTGATAAACGCCGGTTACACCGTATGACCGTAGCTAACGTTAATATTTCAAAACTACGAATACACGAGACTTTCGCCGTTAAAGGAGCTCGGATATAGTAGTGCACCTAATAACTTTTCAAAATTTCAAATTCTTGTTTTAAATTTTTTTTTTTTTTTTCTTTGTCAACCAATTCTTGTTTTAAATTTAAAACGTCCGTTTATAGAGGGGACCCCAACAACAAAACGAAAGCAAAACTTTATGGTGGTGTAAAGGATACCAATTCATTTCAAAATCGGATTGTTTCGTCAACATGTTTTTGAAAAGCAGTTGAAGTTGTTGATATTTAAAAAGTGCGTATTATCTGCACTTCTGAAGGACCACAAAAGAATTAAACAAAGCTGACCCATCATTGATGTTTTCTTAATTCGATGAGAATAGTTATGGGCTTCTCGTACGCTGTTTATAAACAAGAAGCCCAATTAGTTTAGATTACAAAGACGAGTTGGGCTTCACGTGAATTTTTACGAGTCTGACATAACTGATTTGTATGCCACGCGTGGGAAATTACAAGACAATCGCTCCATAAAAGTGGACCCCCATTCTTTTTTTTTTGTTAGTTTTGTGACTTTTGTCTAATCTAAGGGAAAGGGTGAACCTGTGAAGGATCTTTCTTCACATCCTCCCAAACACCCCCAGTTGAGCTTTGCCATTTCCCAAGTTTTTTTTTTTTTTGAAACTGGCTTTCTTAAATTAAATTGCAGAAAAGAAAAAGATTACAAAAGCCCTAAAGCTCTAGTGTTGGAGCATAAAGCCCATTTTAGAAACACATAATAAAGACCACAGCCCTTAGTAGAAGAGCAGAACCCAAGGAGGAAGCCCAGTATAGAAACACATTTCCCAAGTTGGTGCACGTAAATCAAAGCACTCATTTTCTACCCAAATCTTATCGATTTCTTCTTTGGTTAGATCTATCAATGTATCATTGGTTAAACCCCTTGTTCAAAAACGCAGCCGCGTTACCGATTTTGCGGCCGCTTAGACGCTACACGGATGGCCAACGTAGCGATTATGCTTGCTTCGGTAACCAACAATTCAGCATTAACTGTAAAATAGAGACTGATGGCTCTTGGCTAAACAATATTAAAGCTAGTGGAGTATATTTCACATAAAATTAAAGGTAGTGTTCCTAATTAGCGGCAAAATACATGGCTTTCCTCAAAATACTATAGACTATAAACAAGACTAAAGTAGAAAGTTGCAGATTTTATTATACACCATGAAGGTACCGCACATGGACGCATTTCTAGTATAATAAGAAAAAAAATCAGTAACGCCATTTTGACGAATATTTGGACACTAAAAACTCGCCGTTAGGGTTTTGTAAGATATACACAAAACATTTGTCGTCAAATATTATATACTAATATCACTCTTCTTCTTCTTCTTCAACACAGAGCCACCTTATCATCTCTCTATCCCCTCCCCCTTCTCTCTGGGTCTTACTAAGAGAGTGTGATAGAGAGATGGAAGGTCTAATTCAACCCAGAGGAATCCTCTCTCTACCAACCAAACCCACCGGAGCAAGAACTCTCCTTCTCCAACCCTCTTATGTCTTAAAGCAAAGACTTTCCACCAGAAACCTCCCTCCCTTGTCGTTCTCCTCTAATGGGCACACCAAAGTTCAATCCTTTCAATCAAACCCACACAAGATTTCCATTTCCCACAAGGACAGAAACAGAGGATTCATCTGCAAGGCGGAGGCCGCCGCCGCCGCCGGAGAAGGAGACTTGACGTTGACGCCTAAGGTTTTCGGTGTGGAGGTCACGACTCTAAAGAAGATTATCCCTTTGGGACTAATGTTCTTTTGCATTCTGTTCAACTACACAATCCTCAGAGACACCAAAGATGTCTTGGTGGTGACGGCTAAAGGAAGCTCTGCTGAGATTATACCGTTTCTCAAGACATGGGTGAATCTTCCTATGGCTATTGGTTTCATGTTGCTTTACACTAAACTCTCCAATGTTTTATCCAAAAAGGCTCTGTTTTATACTGTTATTGTGCCGTTCATTGCCTACTTTGGAGCCTTTGGTTTTGTTATGTACCCTCTCAGCAACTTGATTCACCCTGAAGCTCTTGCTGATAAGCTCCTTGCAACGCTCGGGCCTAGGTTCATGGGTCCTCTTGCTATTATGAGGATTTGGAGTTTTTGTTTGTTTTATGTTATGGCTGAGCTTTGGGGTAGTGTTGTGGTTTCAGTTCTCTTCTGGGGCTTTGCCAATCAGGTGATTGAGTCTCTGCTACTGCTTGTTATTGGAACCCTTGTGTCAATAACTATCTTGTATTTTTGGTGACAGATCACAACAGTTGATGAAGCCAAAAAGTTCTATCCATTGTTTGGACTAGGTGCAAATGTTGCACTTATATTCTCAGGAAGGACTGTGAAGTATTTCTCTAATATGAGAAAGAATCTTGGTCCTGGAGTTGATGGTTGGGCTGTTTCATTGAAAGCTATGATGAGTATTGTCGTTGGGATGGGTCTCGCTATCTGTTTCCTCTACTGGTGGGTCAACAGATACGTTCCTCTCCCAACACGTAGCAAGAAGAAGAAGGTAAAAGATATGGTTGAACTTAGTAAAACACTAATAGTTCTATGTAGGTAAGTACATAGCTTATGAGGTTTCATGTGTGATTTGTTACAGGCCAAACCACAGATGGGGACAATGGAGAGTTTGAAGTTCTTGGTGTCATCACCATACATCAGAGATCTTGCTACTTTAGTTGTCGCTTATGGTATCAGTATCAACCTTGTTGAAGTCACATGGAAATCAAAACTTAAAGCTCAGGTGAGCAAAAAAAATCCTCTCTAACACTACTATGCTTTTCAATTTACATATCTTATTCTTTTGAGTGCAGTTCCCTAGCCCCAACGAATACTCAGCCTTTATGGGAGACTTCTCAACCTGCACGGGTATTGCAACATTCACAATGATGCTTCTAAGTCAATACGTATTCGACAAGTATGGATGGGGAGTAGCTGCAAAGATCACACCAACCGTTCTGCTCTTAACCGGAGTTGCCTTCTTCTCTTTAATACTCTTCGGTGGCCCATTCGCACCACTCGTCGCCAAGCTTGGAATGACACCGCTACTCGCAGCTGTATACGTTGGAGCTCTCCAGAACATCTTCAGCAAAAGCGCCAAGTACAGCTTGTTCGATCCTTGCAAAGAAATGGCTTATATTCCATTAGATGAAGACACCAAGGTTAAAGGCAAAGCTGCGATAGATGTTGTCTGCAACCCCTTGGGGAAATCAGGAGGTGCTTTGATTCAGCAGTTTATGATCCTTACGTTTGGATCACTCGCGAGTTCCACTCCTTACCTTGGAGTCATCTTGCTTGGTATAGTCACTGCTTGGCTAGCTGCGGCTAAGTCTCTGGAGGGACAGTTCAATACTCTGATGTCTGAAGAAGAGCTTGAGAAGGAAATGGAGAGAGCTTCATCGCTTAAGATTCCTGTTGTGTCTCAGGAGGATGCTGGACCGGGAGAATCTAGTAGCCAAGTACCGGAGAAATCTGCTCCGACCAGCATTTAGACAATTACGAATAAAAAGGATATTGAGATTTGTTACGTGACAGGTTTAAAGGTTTTGTGGTTGGAACAAAGATTTTGATAGTGAGATGATGAGTCAAAACCATTTTTAGACATATGCTTGAGTTTGTTTGTTTTCTTTGTGCCAATAGCAAACTAAATTGATAAGTTCAACAATCTTATGAATAATCTATGTATTTTAGACAACATTTTAAAAAGAAAGCTGTCTTGATTCTACTCAAGTAATTACATGTGTATTAGGTGAGGTTATTGGCTATTGTATTTTAATTGATTTTAATCTAATCAAATTATGTGTTATTTAATTAATAAGTTCTATATTAAAATCATGTATTATTCAATTATATTCTCTCTGTTTCAAAATATGTAAATTTTAGAATTTTCATACATATTAGAAAAACATATTAAATTTTCATCATTACTTTTTGTAATTAACTATTTTTATAATTTTTTGTTTGACAAAAAACCTATTTTTATAATTTTTAAGCAATACAATCTTAATAAAAACATATTTGTTTTAAACTATTTGCCATTAAATAATGAACTGAAAGTAAGGAAATATAATTTTTGGAAACATTTTTTTCTAAAACGTAAATTTTTTTCGAGGCTTTTAAACAAATAATATGTTAAAAGCTTTTTTTTTTGTTAGAATTTGAGGTTAATACGTTTCCATTTAACAAAGAAAATATCTGAGTGAGTTAGTGGCTAAACGACGTAGTACTGCTAATGGTCATCGCTAATTAAGACAGGTTTTGTTTTGTCCACTCTATCTTCTCGCCTTAAAACCCCCCACTGTAAAACCTCAACGAGCAATGAATCCCCACATCCTTCCCTCTCCTTACCTCTCAAGACGATGTCATCCTCCTCATCTCAAACTCCTCACTTTCATCTCAACCCACGAAAGTCGAAACCTTTCCACCGAAACTCCCACAAACACAAAAACCTCAACTTCAATTCCAGTTTCGGAATCCGAAAACTCACCTTGAGAAAATCTCAAGGAGGAGGCTTATCAGTTCTCAGCTCGAGTTCCAGCAACACCCACTTCTCGAATTCTCAGTTACACGGCCTCTGCGCTAACGGGAAGCTTGAGGAAGCCATAAAGCTCGTAACTTCGATGAAGGAGTTGCGAGTTTCGGTAGATGAAGACGCGTTCGTGGCTTTGGTGAGGCTTTGTGAGTGGAAGAGAGCACACGGAGAAGGCTCTAAGGTTTATGGTATTGTTATGAGTTCGATGAGTAGCTTGGGTGTTGAGTTAGGTAATGCTTTTTTGGCTATGTTCGTGAGGTTTGGTAATTTGGTTGATGCTTGGTATGTGTTCGGTAAAATGTCTGAGAGAGATTTGTTTTCTTGGAATGTGTTGGTTGGTGGGTACGCGAAGGGAGGGTATTTGGATGAGGCGATGTGTTTGTATCATAGGATGTTGTGGGTTGGGGGTGTGAAGCCTGATGTTTATACTTTCCCTTGTGTGTTGAGAACCTGTGGTGGTATACCTGATTTAGCTAGAGGGAGAGAGGTTCATGTGCATGTGGTTAGGTATGGGTATGAGTTGGAGATTGATGTGGTGAATGCTTTGATTACTATGTATGTGAAGTGTGGTGATGTGAAGAGTGCGAGGTTGGTTTTCGATAGGATGCCTAGAAGAGATTTGATCTCGTGGAATGCTATGATCTCGGGGTATTTTGAGAATGGGATGTGTTATGAAGGTCTTGAGTTGTTTTTTGCTATGCGTGGGCTTTCTGTTGATCCGGATTTGATGACTATGACGAGTGTTATCTCTGCTTGTGAGCTGCTTGGAGATGGAAGGTTAGGAAGGGATATTCATGGTTATGTGATATGCTCGGGTTTTGCTGTTGATATATCTGTCTGCAACTCTTTGACTCAGATGTACTTATACGCTGGGTCATGGCGTGAAGCTGAAAAGGTTTTTAGTAGGATGGAGCGTAAAGACATTGTGTCATGGACCACTATGATCTCAGGCTATGAGTATAACTTTCTTCCTAGAAAGGCTATAGACACTTACAGAATGATGGATCAAGATTGTGTGAAGCCAGATGAGATTGCAGTAGCTGCTGTTCTCTCTGCTTGCGCTACTCTAGGTGATCTTGACACAGGTGTTGAGCTCCATAAGCTTGCGATCAAGGCAAGGCTCGTATCCTACGTGATTGTTGCAAACAATCTCATTAACATGTACTCAAAGTGCAAATGCATTGATAAGGCCTTGGACGTCTTTCACAACATCCCCCGCAAGAATGTCATATCTTGGACATCGATCATTGCAGGGCTTCGTCTCAACAACCGGTGTTTTGAGGCGTTGATATTCTTCCGGCAAATGAAAATGACGCTGCAGCCAAATGCAATCACATTGACAGCTGCATTAGCAGCTTGTGCTAGAATAGGAGCTCTGATGTGTGGGAAAGAGATCCATGCCCATGTGCTGAGAACAGGAGTGGGGCTTGATGATTTTCTTCCGAATGCACTGCTAGACATGTATGTACGGTGCGGGAGAATGAACATCGCTTGGAATCAGTTCAACTCCCAGAAAAACGATGTCTCATCATGGAACATTCTTCTAACCGGATATTCTGAACGAGGCCAAGGCTCGATGGTGGTGGAGTTATTTGACAGAATGGTTAAGTCCAGAGTAAGACCAGATGAGATTACATTCATCTCACTGTTATGTGGTTGTAGCAAATCACATATGGTCAAAGAAGGTTTAATGTACTTTAGCAGAATGGAGGAGTATGGTGTGACCCCAAACTTGAAGCACTATGCTTGCGTAGTTGATTTGCTTGGCCGTGCAGGGGAGTTAGAAGAAGCGCACAGCTTTATACAGAGAATACCAATTATACCAGATCCAGCGGTATGGGGAGCCTTGCTTAACGCGTGTAGGATTCACCGTGACATTACACTCGGTGAGCTCTCAGCGAAGCGTATATTTGAGCTGGACAAAGAGAGTGTTGGCTATTACATTCTGTTATGTAATCTCTATGCTGATTGTAACAAATGGAGAGAAGTTGCGAGAGTGAGAAGAATGATGAAAGAAAACGGACTAACCGTTGATGCAGGATGCAGTTGGGTGGAAGTAAAGGGTAAAGTCCATGCGTTTCTTAGCGATGACAAGTACCATCCTCAAACAGAAGAGATCAACACTGTTTTAGAGAGGTTCTATGAGAAAATGAGTGAAGCAGGACTTACCAAAACAAGTTCTATGGGTGATGAGACTGAGATTTCGAGAGATGAGATATTCTGTGGACACAGCGAGAGAAAGGCAATTGCGTTTGGTCTGATCAACACAGTCCCAGGAATGCCGATATGGGTGACAAAGAATCTAAATATGTGTGAGAGTTGCCATGATACAGTGAAGTTCATCTCCAAAACAGTAAGAAGAGAAATCTCCGTTAGAGATGCTGAGCATTTCCACCACTTTAAAGATGGAGAATGTTCATGTGGAGAATAGAATGAAAACAGAAGAAGAAATACATTACATCAAGGTATTGTTAATGTTATTACAGGAAAGCTAGATTATAGTTTGGCTTTGTTTTCGTCTGTAAACGTGTTCTGTATGTAACATTAGCTAGAGATTCAATCTTAAAATTTTATTGATATCATTACAAAAAATGTCTTTTTATTTGTGTTACAGGAAGTAGAATGCTAAATGTATAAATTTTCAAATAATGAAGAATGTAAAAACTGTTCTATCTCTTCTGGAAATTGAAAGTCTTGATTCCAACAGCAAAGATGATAGCAAATGCTAATGGGAAGATGACATTCATGGCAGCAACCACTCCCAAGAAACCTTCTCTGAATCCATAGAAATCTTTAATAAATTGCTTCACACTCATACCATCTGCCATTGGTTCAGTAATATCACCGAACTGTGATGTGATTAATCCATACAATGTCCATGAAACAGGGCAAAGCCAGTAGTACCACGCCCACCATACAGGCATACTCTGTTTTTCCAAACCAAACACAAGTTTAGGGTCAAAGGGTAATAATAAAATAAGTCCAAGCCCCATTTTTGAAATTTAATAGTAGCAGACTAACAGTTATATAACGGTAAATTTCAAGATTTTGGTGTACTAACCGGACGAGGGATGAGGAAGCCGGAGAAGAGATTCCATATGCCGTAGAAGGCGGAGGAGACAACGGAGGCGATGTGGTGGTTAGGAGTCATAGCAACAGCCATCATACCATAGAAAGTGAAAGTCAACAACGATCCATACATAAAGAAGAGGTACCAAAAGAACTTAGCAGCGGTCCACTCGAACCCTATCATCGCATACACTATCAGACCGTACACCACCGCTTGCACGAGCACGTAAGGCATCTCTATGAACACCTGAGCAAAAGCATACGGCATGGCAGAGTACATTCCAGCGGCTTGTTCTCGGTAAAAGACTGTTCTCTCTACGTTGACCACTGGTTGCACTGAGGCAGCGTTTTGTAGTCCTAGGAACAGAACAGCTGTGTACATTGAACCCATAGCGTTTGATAGATCTTGTTGCGTTCTCCTGCAGGTGAAAACAAGAAACATTTAAGTGTTTGTTTTTAGACTTGGAAAGCAAGTTTTGTTTTTTTTTTTGGAGGTTTTTGGCTTACGTTTTGCCTCCAAGGTCCCAGAACATTGTGCCGAACATGAGAGCGATACCGATTGTGAAGAGGAATCTAACGGCGGTGTAAGGAGGGTTTCTCCAGTAGGACCAGTGTTGTTTCCATAGAGAAGCCATACATTGTGTCCAGAAGGATTGTGAGTATTGTGTGGGGAAGTATAAATCTTTTGATCCTGGAGCTGGTTGGCTTAGCTCCTTGATTAGCTCCTTATTTCTCCTACAAACATAAAGTTATATTGGTGAGATCACATTCTACAATGTCTTGACTATCCGGGTATTTTCCGGTTCCTAATTTTACTATCCGAACCGAATCCGAAACTAATCGAACCAAACCTCAACCAAAAATAGGTTAGGTAATAAATGGATCCTCTAACGCCTTACCTGATATCCAAAATACCCTAACCAAACCGATACCCAAAATGTTCAGGCCTATATGAATATATAAATGCTTACTTGTAAAGTTCTGAATTTTTGTAGAGTTGGGCGAAGTCAACTCCTAAAGCAGCTTCTTGAGAAGTGGTTGAAACTTCAAGCATCCACGTTGCTGGGTTGTACCCTTCTGTGATCTTGCTGATTCCTTGAACACTCTGTTGTAGAGTTAAAATATATTCAGTCCATGTTTTACTTGAGCTCCAAACAAACTTAGAATATAATGTGATTAACTCTTGTCTTATATATTACCTCAAAGTAGTTGATCAAATGGCTTGATTCGTGGCCAAGAGGTCCAACGTAGATCTCCTCACCTCCACGCTTCAGCAAGAACAACTGCATACACAAACATATTAGAACAAATGGTTTTAAAGTTCTTTTTTTCAATTTTTCTGTGTTGAAAGTGATTGTTTACTTACCTCATCAAAAGCTTCAAATATGTCAATGCTAGGCTGGTGGATAGTGCAGACGACTGTTCTCCCTGTGTCAACCGTGTTCCTCACAGTTCTCATAACGATGGCAGCAGCTCTTGCATCTAATCCTGAAGTAGGTTCATCCATGAAGATGATGGAAGGGTTTGCAACAAGCTCCACAGCGATGGTTAGTCTCTTTCTTTGCTCCGTTGATAAACCGCTCTCACCAGGTAGTCCCACTAGTGCTTGCCTCAAGGGTGTTAACTCCACCAACTCCATCACTTCATCTATAAACATCTGCACAATTACAACCAAAAACATTTGTTAGTATTATTTCGATTTACTCATTTAACTCTTGGAAATGGTAAGTATCTGAAAATAACCTTTCTTGTGTTTGAATCAACTTCTTTAGGTAACCGTAACCAAGCTGAGTAAACCAAGGACTCATAAACAGTAACATGTGGTGAGTGGATATCTGTTTGTTCACAATATCCTGAGATACGTGCAAATGTTTGTTGGTTCTTAGGGTAACCGGAGATAGTGATGTTTCCATCAATATAACCACCGGTTTTCCTTCCGGCAAGAACATCCATCAGAGTTGTTTTCCCAGCGCCAGAGACACCCATTAGAGCTGTAAGCACACCTGGCCTGAATGCACCGTTCACACCTTTCAACAAGACAAGTCTATCTTCTTGTGCCCCTTGCTCTATCATTTCCTGTTGTGAATAAGAATCCATAACAAAGATTAGTAAGGAAAGTTTCTTGAATTGATGAGACTCAAAGGGTCTAGTATGCTGTTTAATTGTTACCTGAGGCATGTCAACTGAGTATACAACATTGTCGAATGTAATTGAATGTGGCTCAAATGGAAGCACCATTCCTTTTTTCTTATTAGCATTGGCTTCAACCATAGACTGAAGTTCTGCCTCGTTTCTCTCCCCATCACTCGCAGGCTCTTCCGTTAAAACAGTTTGAGGCTTTCCCAAGGCTGTACACAAAGAATGTTCATATGGTTAGAAAATGAAAAAGAAAAACAGAGATTTGACCAAGCAAAATGATTGGTTACATACAGTTGAGAAATGTGAGAGCTAGCGTGAAACCCAAGTTAAATAGCACGATGAATCCGAGTAAGGCTCCAATTCCAATCCAGTACCAGTATGCATGTGGTAAGAACCCACGAGACTTTAGGACAGTAACTCCAAGTGTATCACTTGAGTTTGGAACAGCCTGTAATACAAGCAACGTATCAGTGTCAAGTCTAAAATATAATACCAAAACCATGATAAGAGAGATGGATACTTACTTGACTCCAGCTGTGTCCGAAGAACTCGTTGGCCACAATAGCGTTCTGACCGTACATGATTGGTGAGATCCAGTAACCCCAAATCCACCACTTCTTTATATCATCTGTTTTTTTGGTAAGTTTAATAGTAAGTAAAAGCTTTTGATTTGAGTTATGTTAGAAACTTGTATATGCATGAACACATACCTTTTGAAAGTACAACACCACCCAAGGCAAAGAAGACAAGCATAGAAAATGCACCAAATGTGTTTGCAACGATCATGTTTCTTCCCAATGCTGCGATCATCTTAAACAATGCTGAAGCCATCTGGTTCATGATCACCAGCAGAATATACTGTTTAAACAACCTGCAAGGAACCAAGACGCATTCATTCTTAACAACTCATCCAAGATCCCAACGAGTAGCCAAATCTTTCATATGTATATGATACTAATGTACCTTCCAATGCTGGGGTCAAAACCAATGACGTAGTAAGTGATGAATGCTGTGAGAGCTGCTTCAATGAAGCTTATAGGGATCTTGAGGAGCCAAGGAGGCAGAGAGTATACCCATGCAGGGTAGAAGAGGAGATCTCTTTGTTTGTAGAACACAGGAAGTTTTGCAATGGTCATTGAAAGTTCAGACATTCCATTGAACATGAGCAACATAAGGATGAAGAACAAGGCTCCTGTGTAGAGACTCCCATCTATTACAGTCTTCTTTTGCATCTCTGTCCTAAAGAACAGAGTCATTGTCGCAAAAGACATTACCAGCAGCTGTAGTAAACACATGGAAGCAACCAACAACATGTTACATGAATCTTCCTTGAAGATAAAACAAATGAGAAGAGTTGGTGTATTGACTTACTTGTCCGAACTTGAAGTAGTAAACAAATGAGTTTCTTTTCATGAGTAGATATTCTCTGGAGAAGCTTGTGTGTACAAGCTCTTTGATTCCAACTCCATACTTCTTGGTGGTTAAAGCAGCTGGATGGCTCTTTTTCTTATCAAACGGCACTGCAAGCTCATCTCCTATTCTCCTCCCAACATGGAATGATTGAAACGCTTCTGCAAACTCTCTCACTCTTATGAACCTATAAGGCTCATCAGGTCTTGCCCAGTACTGCATTTGATCTTTCTTTGATGTTACCTGCAAAAGTAGTACTCATTTTAGTATTAAAACATGAAACAAGACAGTGGTTATGATTATGTTACAAATCTTACTTCTTGGAGGAAATCAGCAACGCCTTTTCTTGGAGGACATTTGAATCCCAAGGTCTCAAAGAACTCTACTACATGCTCACGAGGACCCTCATAGATAATCTCACCTTCAGCAATGAGGAAAATATCGTCAAAGAGATTGAATGTCTCTGGCGCAGGCTGAAGCAGAGAGATCAAAGCTGTCCCGTTGAAGATATGAACATAGTTTCTTAAAGAGTTCACTATCTGATACGTTGTTGAGCTATCTAAACCAGTGGATATCTCGTCCATGAACAAAGCCCTAGACGGTCCAACCAGCATCTCACCAGTAGTGACACGCTTCTTTTGTCCCCCGGAGATACCTCTCAACATATCATCACCAACCATTGTGTCTGCACAAACTTCAAGCCCTAAGATCTATAAAAAAAATTAAAAGAAAATTAGATGAGTTCAGGTCTAAAGACTTTGATAATTTTCTTATTTAAAAAAAAAGTTTGAAACGAAACTATACCTTGAGGATATAATCTGTCATCACATTTGTTTCTTCACCTGCTGTTGATGTCGCTTTCATGAAGACATCAATGTCAGGATCAGGTTTGATGTTTGCTTCCTTCTCACGTCTTGCCAATTCAGTCAACATATCTAATACACACACCAAAACATTGCTGGTCAGTGAAATAAACATTTACTAAAACGAATTTTTTGAGAAAATGTTAAAAAAAAACTAAAACTCACCATAACGTGAACCAACACCTTGGAAACGAGCTGCGTAAGCAAAAGTTTCACGAACAGTCATTTCACCGATGTGAACATCGTTTTGACCTATATATGCAGCTGCTCTTTGTGGCACAAACTCATTCATTCCATGACCATTGTATGTCACTCTTCCAGTTTCCTACATATCAAATAATTATATTTTTACATTTTTTATCTGGTAATTCTCTAAAATAGCACTCTTTTAAGTTTTTATCACAAAAATAGACCTCAAAAATTAAAATGACCAAAGTAGCACTTTTTATTTTGAAAATTTTAAGTTTTTTTAATTTTTTTAAATTCGAAATCCTACCCCAAAACTCCACTCCTCAACTCTAAACAAAAAAAATCTAGAATTAGTTTACCCAAGGGATATAATTGTATATTTAATAAAACATTTAAGTGTTATTTTGATTGTTTTAATTGTTAATGTCTATATTTGTGATAAAAACTTTTTTAGGTCTATTCTAGTCATTTTTTTTTATTCCACTTTCACTTGAAGCTGAAACATTTAGAGATAAAGAGGTAAAGTTAGTACCTTTAGTTCATGATCAAGCTTTCCCGCCAAGGCAAGCAAGAGTGTTGTTTTGCCAGAACTTGGAGGACCCAAGAGCAGAGCCATTCTGTACAATTCAAAGTTCAAATATTTTAACAATTTCTCAATAAACTAACCAAAAAAAAATTTATGTAGAAATAGTTATAACGGAATCTGAAAATTTACCTGCCGGGCTTAACGATTCCGCTGACGTCATTGAGTATAGTGAACTTCTTCTTCCGGTTAGGAAGAAGGTGCAGAGAGTTCAGGAGCTTCTGTTAAATAACAATCGAATAAAGACTGTTGTTAGATATTGTTTTTTTTTTTGAATATAAAAAGAGAAAAGAAAAAAGAAGAAGTAAAAAGCATTTTTACATCTGCAAAATTGAACATGAAGTTAACAAACGTAGGTAAAGCTCTCCCACCGACATGAACCTCTGCTTCAACTTTTAAATGATCAAACCGTACTTCTATTGTCGGAAGCTCGATTCCAACTCTGTCATTTAAAAAAAAAAAAAATTAGTACAAAGCCCCAAAAAAAACAGAGCTCCTCTGTCTTTTTTTTTTACCTATCGATACGGTTCTTGAGTTTCCATAAGAGCTTCTCATGCTCATCCTCACCAACTTTGATAAGCCTCTCGAGTAGTTTCTTGGTATCTTGGAACCCAAGCTTCTCGATATCGATCTCGTTGATGCCATGAGAGGCAGTTAGGATTCCTTTCCTGAGACGATCAAAGGTAGGGAGCTTCTCTAAAGCAGCCCATTTCAAAGCTTCTTCGTCGTCTTCTTCTCTAGAAGACCTGGAGAAAATCTCCATCCCTGAATCTCTCTTCCACGCTGAAGAGTCTCTTCTCAAACTGTTACTCGCTTTCTGAAAACTTGTTCCTTCCATTTTCCTCGGATTAGTTAATCCCAGAAATCAAATGTTTTTTTTTTCTTTCTCTCTTTTTTTTTTTGTTTATGTCAGATCAAGAATTAATGAATTAAGTTATGCAAACATATGGTGGAAAAAAAAAAAGAGAAATGTGAGATGAATGATGAAATGAATGTAGGGATTGTGTTCTCGTATATATACATATTCATGAAAACGCGCACATGCATGTATTTTGATTAACAAAGGGGGAAAAAACAGAGACGGAACGTGACGAATACGGTGACGTTCTACGCTTTTTCGTTGTGTACTTTTGAATTTACCAAATAGGAAAAGGAGAAAGCTTACGTCAGCTGTGACTCTCTCTCTCTCAGAATTCAGAAACGTAAATATCTACATTTAAGTTATGATTTGATACGATTGTATATTCTGTGTATACATTTTAGGATAGAAACCTTTGTATGAATGGATCTAAGAATGAATACAGAAATCACTTTCCATGTACTCTGTTTTTTGACAGCTTACGTAAGCTGTGACTCTGTCAGGGTATTCTAGAAGCAGCACTGTTTCATTAATTGGTCCACTTTAAAACTTTTTGTCCAGAATCATACTGTATGAAATGAATATCTAAAAGCTTTGAAATATAATCATGTCTTTTTCATACGTTCTTAATGCATCAATATCCTGGACAGTTTTATGTCCTTGTCATTACTTATAAATACAACCAGAAAACTTAAATTTTGGTGCTAAGAACTTATACAAAATAAAAACAGAGATTATTTGCTCATAAAGCCGCCCTAAACTGCTCTTCTAATTTACGATTTACATTTGATGTGACTCATGTAAAATTATTGACTAAAATGTCTTTTCTTCTCTCTCTTGATATTCTCTTTTCTAAAATTCTCTCTTCTAACACACTCTTTCTCGTCTTTAATTTTACTTATTTCTCATCCTTAAACTCTTTCATCATTTTTTATTTACGTGATGAAATATTTTTTTATCTTGAGGTTTCAAATTATTATATGCTACATATAATATTAACAGTTGTAGTGTTAATAATATATATAGAAAACAATGCGGTGTTAGCTGTTAACAAATAAATGTACCAGTTGTATTATCAGAGACATTAACTGTTAACAGATTTTGTAGATGTTAATAGATGTATTAGCTGTTAATAAATACATGTACCATAATTATTAGTAAAGGTGTTAGTTGAAATAAATTTATAGATGTGAATGCATGCCTTAGGTATTATATGTTCACAAATAAATATTGTCAAAGTTTTAATTTATCTAACGAGCTGAGTAATTTTATTAGGTAACAAAACATATATCAGTTACCAAATGAGTTAACCGCTAACAATGAATATAACACTAATATTGAATTTATAACAAATTATAGATTTTAAAGATGTTGAAATCTTGCAATCAAATGTAATTTATGTTTTCAATTATATCAAAATGTTAAATTATTTTATCTATTATAATATTTTATATTATATATTCAAAAATACTATTATTTGATAATATTTTTAGCATTAAAAAAATTAGCGAACATGTGGACACTATCTCTCCTGACACTTCTCTATAACCAGCAGAAAATGTGTCAGTTGAATAAGGATATTTTAGGAATTTCCAGGTATAATTGCATTGTTTGAGCCAATAATGTCCATCAATGGGCAAACCTCAAATTTGAGTTTGAATTTTAGGTATTACACTAAATCACTCATAAAAACATATACAATAGAACCTCTATAAACTAACAATGTTGAAATTTTGTAATTTTATTAATATATAAAAATATCAATTTATAAAAGTTTCTTTATTTACATTTTTATTTTAATATATATTTATTCTAGGATGAGAAAAATATTTGATTTTAATGTATAAAGATTGACTATTATTTATCGAAATTTGATATTTATATTGATTTTATTATATTATTTAGTGTATATAATATATGTATATTATCAATCTTTTAATATCTCTATATTTATTACATGCTGCACTGAACACTTGTTGAAAATAACCATTTACCCGAAACTTACTAGAAGTAGCTGAGACATAGTACTACTGTATTAGCATGAAAATTATTCAATGCATAATAACAAGACGACAACAGATGTAAATGAAATAGTAATGTGAAGAAATCAAACGATGGCAAATACATAATAGTGAGTTTATTTGATTGAATTGTATCTGCTTGGACTTAATTTTTTTTATAAAAGAATAGATATTTTACAAGTATATTTTATTTTGATTTTCTAAAGCTAAACCCGAATCCTAAAAGTTAATGTTATGTGGTTTAAAAACAAAAGATTAAGATGAAGTTATGTGTTTGATTTTGATACCATATATAGAGTTAGGACTTCGTTAGGACTTTTTTTGTTGTTGTCAAACTGGACTTTGTTAATTAACTAAACAGAATCGCAATGAAAAAGCACTGCATAGAGAGATGTTTTATTGGTACAGGTGTAATCGACCGTAAGTAAAACGTGTAAATGGACCGTAAAATTGCTATTTTATTTTTATAACATTAGTCTCATTAGAAGATTCTAATAGAATCAACGAAGATGAATTTGATGTTCGTCTTCATTAACTTCCTCACACAGCCACGTTCTTGGAAGTTTCCATATCCAATTTTATCAAGACCTCTTAAATATGGGTGACTGTTGTTTCAACTTTCAACCAAAAGGAACGTCCCTAACCGGAAAATAGTTTCGGTGGAGAATTAATATTGGCTAATGGAACAATTATTGGTAGGACAATTAAAAAAACTGGTAATTTGGTAGTTGTTGCAAAATGCAAATCATCTTTATTGCTCCAGCGTTCTGCTCCTATCTAATTTACAAGGGTAAGCCAAAAACCGGACATAACCAAAATTTATGAACCTAAAAACAAACCGAATATAAATGTAACCTAAATTGTACTGAGAAAGTTGTCAACGTCCGCGGCTTAAGAAAGTCAAAGGTACACTTTACAGCTGGGAAATGTCAAACCCAGTGTCGACCAATAAAGACCCCATTCGACTCGAGAAGAAAATAATGGGCTTTTTGTTGAATAAACCTGAGTAGGCCTTATAATAGCCCGATAATACACAAGACTTCCCACCCAGATACAGACAAAAGTCAACGAAAAGCATCTATACAAACTGACTCTGAAGTATCTTTCAATGGGAGTATAAACACATACTCCATTTCATTAGACAACTATGATTTTAGGGGAATATCACTTCATATTAGTGAGTATAAAGGTAAAATTTCTGTACATTTAGTTTTTTTTTTTGACTATAGAGAATGGATCATATGTTATGAATAATAACTTTTTCTAGTGATGTGCTTAACTATGATTTCGTAGTACACTTAAATGGGTGGGAATGAAACTCAGGAGCTTCCGGTTATAAACCTCTCCGACAAGAACCTGAAACCGGGAACCGAGCTCTGGAACTCGACGAGAAACAGCGTACGTGAAGCCATGGAACACCATGGTTGGTTCGTGGCCGAGTACAACAGCTTTCCAGTAGAACTCCACCAGTCAATTCTCGAGGCTTCCCAGAAACTACTCGATCTTCCTCCCGAAGTTAAGGTAAAGAACGTGAACCACAAAGCTGGTCACGGCTACATATCCATGATGTCCGATGATCAGCCCGTTCATGAAGGTCTTGGTATTGACCAAGCCAACGATATCCAACAGTGTCGCCTATTCTCCCGTCTCATGTGGCCTGATCATCATGACAATGACATTTTCTGGTATATATTCCATATTTATGAAGTAATTAATATAACATCAAAAGTGATGAAGCATAAGTTTTATAAGATAAATTAGTAATCCGTTGATTTTGAAAATACTTTACAACTTTATAATGTCTAGGATAATCACTAAGTTATTCGTTTAGTTTTATAATGTCTAGATTTTCTTTGATTCATTCGGACCTCTATAAATTTACAGAAAACAATGAACAAATAAAAACTTTACAACTTTAATTAATCCAGTAACACCATAACATACTAATTATATGAAAACCTAAAAATTATGAAAACCATAAGGCTATGTTTATTGGATGTTCTAGGGATACGGTTTTTAGTTTCGGTTAAGATACGCTTTTAGTTTTTAATTAAGAAAGATTAAGAATCGGCTCTTAAATAAGAATTATAAAAACTGGTTTGTAACCAAAGTGTTTTAAAAAAGTGTCTGAGTTAAAAAAACAAAAATTTATTCTAGGCTATATACAAAAGTCTTTGTTACTATTGATATGTGTTAATGATGTTATTACAGTGAAACTATTAACGCATATGCGAAAATGCAAGCGGAGCTGGAGCAACTGGTTATAACGATGCTTTTCGAGAGCTATAACCTAGAAATGTACACAAAGAAACACATAAGAGGATCACGTTACCTTCTTAGGTTGCTGAAATACAGAAGACTCCCTAATGGAGAGCCCAACAGGAAGTTCATTTCTCATACGGACAAGAGCTTCATCTCCATTCTCCATCAGAACCACATCACCGGACTCATGTTGAAATCCGAGAGAGAGGACGTTTGGTATCCTTTTATCCCTTCACCAACCCGGTTCGCTGTTATAGCAGGCGACGCCATCATGGTATAAGCTAGAAACTACCAACTCAAGTTTTTTTGTGTTGCGAAATTAATCATGTGCGCCAATGTATATCATCAGGCGTGGAGTAACGATAGAATCAAATCGTGTTACCACAAGGTGGAGATGGAGAGCGTGGAAATGAGGTATTCATTTGGTTTCTTCTCGTTCCAAGAAGAGATGATATCGACACCAGAGGAGATGGTGGACAAGGACCATCCTTTAGCATATAAGCCATTTAACCATGACGGACTTCTCGCTTTCTACGAAACGGTGGACGTTCATCTCAAGGCACACCGTACCATGACCAAAGTCTATTGTGGTATCCAACAAGCGTATGAACCATAATCACAATCATATATAAACCTGGTTATTTTCACCCAAAATGTATCCCTTTCGTGTTTTTTTTTATATACAATAGAACCTCTATAAATTAATATTCGATAAATTAATATACACTAAATATCTCTATATAATAATATAATTTTATAGTTTCAAATTGAATTTTTGGTTCAATTAGTATATCGATAAATTAATATCTCTATAAATTAATAAAAAAATAAAAAATTTGGCGTATGTATGATTTTTTTTAGCAAAAAAAAAAACAAAAACTAAGTGTGTTTTTTCTACCTTTTTGAACTCCTTTGGTTCCATGAAATCAAGATGTCAATGATTTAAAACTTTCAGTGTGTTGTGTGTATATAAACAACCTCTTGCAAACAACTAAAGTGGAAATGTGCCTTATCTAGACTAACATGAGCCTTAACTTATAGTGGTTACTTTTAAATCTTTTCTTACTTATTTTGTTCCACTTTTGGTTGTGGAAATAAATATATAAAGACTTTATTTCATGTCTCAGTTATACGAAATAGTTTGATTTAATTTCTAATCAATGATATTTCAACACGAAAAATTCCATAAACATGGGCCATATTCTGCTGCACACATCGAGACAGAAGATATTGCTTGTTAAAAGTTAAGATAAGATAATATAATGTAGCATATGTTTTGGTCATTTTCAATTTCTTTTTAGATTAGACGTATAGCCTCATCTTATATGTGCTCTGTCATTTTATTTTCAGACAATCTGACAAATAGCATTCAAACAAGATGAATTGTGTATGATTCTGAAAAAAACACCGTGTTGTTTGTCTTTAATGTTAGTATAAATTATTTTTAAGCGTTTCAATCATAGAAGTTATTGGGGCCCTCAAACGCATAATTGCAAAAATTAATAAACAAGATTTTCATTAGTGGCAATGTGGCAACATGTCACGGGACGATTCACGTAGTGCCTGTCTTTTTGTTTTTGTTATGTGGAATGCAATTCAAACACAATTAAAGACAAACAATGATTCTAATAGAATACTAATTTACAACATTTTTTTATTAATCAAACTAACTAGCCGATTACAAAATTTATTATAATCTCATGAACTGTTTGTTATTCATCTATCTGATTTTTAATCATTGAAAGAGCTTTATTGAAGTGAGTTGCCTTAGTTTTTAGATACTCTGTCCATGTGACCGATCGGTAGAGAGGCGATCCAACAGGACTAACCAGTTTTGGTACAGGTGATATCTTGACATCAGATTGTGGACCCCAAAGGAAAGCTACCGATAACCGGGATCTGGTTTGGTTAACCCGAGCCCGGTGTAACACACTTTTAAACAGTCCATTCGATAAGATGTGAAAGAGATCACCAACGTTGACCACGAGCGAGCCTGGAACCGGTGGCACGGTGACCCAACCTAGATCATCACGAAACACTTGGAGACCGGCGGTATTGTTCTGGTGCAGAATGGTTAAGAGAGTGGAGTCGGTATGTGCAGCTAGACCCATAGCTCGGTCCGGTTCAGGACAAACCGGGTAGTGGTTAAGCTGGAGGGCGGATTGGGCCCAGTTTAAATCTGAATTAGCACTACTGGCCCATTTAATGTCTTCTTCGTTGACGCCAAGTGAAGTTAGCGCTAACCACATCAACTTGGATGCCAACTTTTGCATTTGTTCCTCGTACTCTTCAACGATGTCGCTGTTAATTAAGAAAAATACGAATTTTATCCATTAATTAGTACAGATGAGATTTATACACAATTTGCATATAAATACGTTAAACTTTTGTACGACCTTTTTAAATAAATAGGAAAACAAAACAAAAGCAAGTTGGGCTTTTTGTTTTCTCCGATAAAGAGTAAAAAATATATATCTTCAAATCTTGAGGTGGGTCCAATATGCTAGATTTTCATTATGCTCGTTACTCTTAATTCCACTAAAATTTAATGACATGGCGAAATCTCTGTTGCTTCTGTTATTCACGGTCCATGTTATTACCAAACTATTATGTATAGTATATGTATATAATAAGGTCGAGTGTGTATAGATAGATATATACCAGTAGTTGTTAAGGTGATGTTGGGGCCAGAGTTTACGGAAGTCGTTGAGAGGGGAGCCGGTGATGGTGAAACCTTCAGACCACATTTGCTTATTGAAGAAAGATGAGATACGAGCGACGCCGTAGCCAGAGAAGCCTGTCTCCGAGCGAGCCGCCTTAAGCTTGCGTTGGACAGGTAGCTGAAAAAGGCTACCGGTGAGAAACTCAATGCCTTGGAGAAGTTCCAAAGGCACGCCGTGGTTAGCGATCTGGAACGCACCCCAAGTTGTACATGCACGGCCGATTTGGTTGGCAGCGTCGGGGTGGTTGAGGTCAATGAGAGGGATGTTTTCACCGGCGGCAGGAGGGGAAGGAGAGGCGTCAAAGAGGGGATCATCTTTAGGGGTCCATGTGTAAGAATCAGGGAGCTCACTGAGGGATGTGAAGTCAGGTTGGTGAGAGTGTGGGAGGTGAATGGGATGGCCTCTAAAGACGTCTGTTAACATTGTAGGCATCTTGCTCTTGTGAGAAGATTTGTAGTTTTGTAAATTATAAAATCTGATAGATGTTTTTGTGTGTTTTTCTTTTGATATGTGTATTATGTTTTGTGGTGGAAGAGTTGGAGAGTCTATTTATAGTGGTAGAGCCGAGATCAAGAGAAGGGAAAATATATAAATCATATGAAGCTCTTGGTTTGGGACATTTGTATTGGTTATTCGACTACTTTATTCGATTAATACAATACGAACAAACCAAACCTCTAGAAAATTAGGGAGGTCCCGCCATTTCCTTCTTTTGTAAGAAAAAATATTATTGTTATTTTGTATGCAAGATAAGGTATTACACATGATGGGTTGTCAAACTGTATATAATTATATTGAAGTGGAGGTATTATAGTACATTTTGTCTTTCACATCTTGAAGTTCAACATTTTAATTTAAATCAAATTTAAGAGAGAGATTAATGTCTAGAGGTGATAAGATGTGATTATGACCTTAAACAGTTAGACAAACATTGCAAAAGAAAGGGACAAATGTCTTTTTGTCTAGTTAGTTTGTTTTGTTGATTTAGGGTATAACTAGTGTAAACGTATCGGCTAAGGGTGCAGATGCTTGCGGATAGTTGTGTTTTAAGCGTTATTAAGCAATTTATGCTTGCGGATAGTTGTGTTTTAAGCGTTATTAAGCAATTTATACAACAGTTAAAAATTGGTATGTTTAATGGATATTTACAATTAATTAACTATCAAATGCATTAAGGATTAATAATGAATTAACAATATTAACATTTTATCTAATAAGAAAATATAAAAAAATTATATTATAATAAACATAAAAATTATATTTATAAAATCCTAGTATTAATTTTTTAAAAAATTGTAGGAAATATTTTCGTTTCAAAGTTTTATAACATAAATTAAAATATAATATATATTAGTACTTCTATTATTTCAATTTTAATAATTTAATTAAATATTTTTCTATTATATTTATATAGTTTTTTATAAAAAAATATTTACCATCTCGTAATCACATATATTATCTAGAACAAGTTTTTGATTTTTAGAATCTCTGAACGATATAAAATGATTTAAAACAATTTTTTTATTGTTATAAAACGTCTAAGACTTTACCACCCGCAAACATATGGTTACGGTGGTATATACAAAACCAGTCAAAGCTTTAATGTTGTTTCCTTGTTTATGTTTACGGTGGTATATACAAAACCAATCAAACCCTTAATGTTGTTTCCTTGGTTATTTGAGTAAGTTTTTGTTGGCCAAGCATTTGAGTAAGTTTTATCAAACAATTAATCTTTTGGTGATACGCTTCCTCATTTCTTCAACTATTGACCAAAGAAAAAAATCTAAGTTCTTTCAAAATCAGAAATTAAGTAAGTTATGTACGCAACTATGTATTTATTTATTTTTCTGACCACAAATTACTCTGTTTTTGTTTCTCTCTGACTGTGGTCAAATTAGTTGTGATTGATTGAAATTATAATTGTAAGAGGAGACACAAAGAGGAGTGTTTTTTGGCTCGGACAAAAGAAGGAACAAAAATAGAAAGGGCCAATGTTGTCCTCTTCAAACAATATCTAGCTAACTGCAGCAAAGAACAAAATAGCTTATCTTCTTCAAATTCTCCACCAAGAAAAAAATCGAAAGATTTCTGGATGTGATATATTTTGAGAGAAAAAAATAGTTTTTATAGTATTTGGATATAGAGAATACTATGGACAGAGCAAATAGAATTTAGATGAAATAACATTACTTTTTCATTATTAAAGGCGCAATTACTGTTTGATTAAACAAATTATCTAAGCAAACATTACAAATAACGTTGTAGCATGCCAAACTGAGACTAAAGGAAGAAACCCTTGTCGAAAATATACTAACAATGCGTCAGGGCTACAGAATTTGCCATAAATGCATTTATACAGGTCTTTGTAAAAACTGTAGTTATACAGGTGCATCCATGCTATGTTTTTTTTTTTTTTGAAAACATCCATGTTATGTTGCAATTATATATGTTTATGATCCTTTGTGTTCATGGATGCTTCTTTTTTTTGTTGTAAAAGTGTTGCTGATTATAGAGTAATTGACATTCAAGCAATGTCATTAAAATTCGTATAGCAAAAACAATAGTTGTTTAACTTGGAACAAAGCCATCCATGCGTGAGAGTTGATTAGTTTCTGTTTATTTTCAGTTTCTAAGGGATTTATTTTAAAAGGTGTTATAATTAAAAAATCATTTTGTTAAAATGAATTTGAAAAGTGTCTAGATGCTAAAAGTATAAATGTAGTCAGCTTTTTTGATAAAATAATAGTTAAGTTTGCTTAAATATTTTACCAAGTGTCTTTGATTCAACTGCAAAATAACATAAGCAAGATGTACAAATCAAATAACAGAGTGTCATTTTTAAACAGTACAGAATGCAATATAAGATGAAACTAGCATTAATATTATATTATTGAATTTGAGAAGTATAAAGTTCAGCCTAAAAAAAAAGTCAGTCTATCTTTTAATAAGGAAAAGTTTAAATAGTCTAAAGTGCTATTTGGGGATTTCATGTGTTACTAGTATCACAATACAA